AATCATGCTCACTTGAGCTCCGGTGTCTAACAGAGCATCAACTGTCAAGCCGCTCAGGTCACATCATGCGAGGGCTTTGGCACCTATGAACTTGGCTAGGCGCCTGCTTGTTTGAGTGGGCAGGGAAAGGGGGAATTGGGGGTCATTTACATTGTTTACTTTAGGTCTTCTATTCAGCAAACTCTCTCTTGTATGAAACTCAGAGCTGGATACATTGCACTTAACACTGTGGGACTGAACATGAGACCCGGTCACTGGTTGTCCCGTTGCAGCGACCGGCTCCAGTTTTCCTGACGCTTCGGCTTCTTTAGGCAGCCTACTGCTCTGTGGCCGTTTTCACCACAGTAAAAACAGTGAGTGCAACCTGGGAGGTTTTGTGCGAGGCAATTAGCACAGCTATTTGACTTGGGTTTCGTTCGTTCCACTTGAGCTTTGCAGTGGTGGCAGGGCTCGGAGCTGTGAATCTGCTGCGGCCGTTGCAGTTGCTCAACTTTAGTCATTAACCCTGCTTCTTTTTCAGTTAACAGCTGAAGTGCTTTAGCCTTTGGCTGTTTATCTGGAGCATCTTTCTTTGCACCATTACCTTGTGCAGCTGCGACTTCAACCTCCACTAGCTCAGTGCTATGCACACTTACTTGTTTCTGTTTCACGCCTGACCCCAAACGTCTCTGTCGTTCATTCTCTGTGCTTGTTATCTTCATCATTTGTTTCAAAATTTCTTCATCAGACACACTGCTATCAGAAAGTAATGTTTTAAGTTCTCTGCGTATGACATTATGTTTGTGGCTAAGTCCTTGATATATGGTGTGTAGGAAAATGTCTTTAACTGTGTTCGAATTGTATTTCACTTCCGTGTCAGCATGTTTTTAGGCAATGTGCATGGAATGAGATTCATTCTCCTGGAAGGGGAAGACCACCTAGTAAGCTGCTGAAAAGCTAAATTAAGTTGTCGCAGAGAAACACCATACTTCTTTTTAAAAATAAATGGAGTCTTGTAATCTCAGTAGATGTAGGGGTTTAACAAACCCACAACATCCCTCAAAACATCTTAAAAGTTTGTTTTGGACCACAGAAAGTGTATTATTTCAATTTATATTCACAATTTTCGCCAACATCATCTGCCATTGTTGCTGGAGGGTGACTAATCTGCTTGAGCCGTACTGAATTGTATCTGTGCTCGTCCTGTTGGATCTTAGTGCTGCATTTGATACAGTTGACCATAATATTCTTTTAGAAAGACTTGAATATTTTGTTGGAATTAAAGGAACAGCACTAGACTGGTTTAAATCTTATCTATCTGATCGAATTCAGTTTGTTCATGTTAATGATAGATCTTCAACACGCTCAAAGGTTACCTGTGGAGTACCACAGGGATCAGTGCTAGGACCAATTCTCTTTACTTTATACATGCTCCCAATTGGTAGAATTATTAGACAGCATGGGATTAATTTCCACTGTTATGCTGATGATACCCAGCTATATCTGTCTATAAATCCAGATGAAGCTAACCCATTACATAGATTACAGGCATGTCTTGAAGACATAAAAACCTGGATGACTCTTAACTTTCTGCTTCTGAATGCAGACAAAACAGAAGTTATAGTCTTTGGACCAGAGTCTCTGAAAAAGAAACTGATTAGCCAGTCACTTCATTTGGATGGGATTAAACTGATTTCAGATAATAAAGTAAAAAATCTTGGTGTTATTTTTGATCAGGACCTGTCATTTAAATCCCATATCAAAGAGGTTTCTAGAATTTCCTTCTTTCATCTGAGGAACATTGCAAAAATTAGAAATATCCTGTCCAGGGGTGATGCTGAGAAACTAGTCCATGCATTTGTTACTTCAAGGCTGGACTATTGTAATTCTTTACTATCAGGAAGTCCACAAACTGTAGTTAAAAGCCTTCAGCTGATCCAAAATGCTGCAGCCAGAGTTCTAATGAAAATGAAAAAGAGAGATCATATCTCTCCTATCCTGGCTTCTCTTCATTGGCTTCCTGTTAAATCAAGAATAGAATTTAAAATCCTCCTTCTCACATATAAAGCCTTAAATGGCCAAGCTCCATCTTATATCAGAGATCTGATTGTTCCTTATGTTCCTAACAGAGCACTTCGCTCTCAATCTGCAGGTTTACTAGTGGTTCCTAGAATTTCTAAAAGTAGAATGGGAGGCAGATCTTTTAGTTATCAGGCTCCTCTCCTGTGGAACCAACTACCAGTTTTAGTCCGTGAGGCAGACACCCTGTCTACTTTTAAGGCTAGGCTTAAAACTTTCATTTTTGATAAAGCTTATAGTTAGGGTGGCTCAGGTTATCCTGAGCTATCTCTATAGTTATGCTGCTATAGGCTTAGACTTTTGGAGGACATAGGGACCCCCATTTCATCATTCTGCTTCATTCTCTCTCTGTTCTCCTATTCTGCAGAATCTGTTAGTTCAATCTCTAACCTTCTGCTCTCTCTGCTTTTCCTCAGAGTAGCTTTGCCTCGTCTGTTCCTGTTTGGCTGTGACGTCATCCTGGAAAGAAACATCAGCTGTGCTGCTTCTATCAACACCCTTGTTAATAGATGTTGGAGATCGGCCGGTTTTCCAGTGTGGTCCTGTTTCTCTGACCGTGACTGAGTGGATGTGCTCTCTTCGTCCTCTGGCATGGGAGCTGCCTTGGAGCTCGTCTGCCTGGCTGTGTGTTTCCTGGACGGGGCCGCCTTTTACAGCTGCTTTTTGTATCTCTGCTTCTGTCTCCTTGAACCCCAGTCGGCCTCAGCAGATGGCCGCTCACACTGAGCCTGGTTCTGCTGGAGGTTTCTTCCTGTTAAAAGGGAGTTTTTCCTCTCCACTGTCGCTACAAGCATGCTTAGTGTGGGGGATTGTATTTGAGTCAATGAGTCAATGCAATCAACTGGTTTTCCTTAGATAGAAAACTTTGTATCAATTTGACTGTATGATCTGGTTGAACTGTAAAGTGCCTTGAGATGACATGTGTTGTGAATTTGGCGCTATATAAATAAACTGAATTGAATTGAATTGAATTGAATTACGGAAAATTATAGGCCACCAAGGATATTCTGCTTTAGGGTCAAAAAGCCTAAAATGAGAAAGTAATTTCTAAGTCACATTTAAGGAGTTTTGGGAGGATTTGTGGCTTGGGACGGCAATCGGTATAAATTAAGTCTTTGTAGGATACATCCCTTACTGTAACCAGGACACACACTATATGATGTATAGAAGCAGATATTGTCATGATCTTGGCACTGATGACTGGCTTAATTACTCATTTCATTCACCTGCTGAACTGCACCCCTTTTCTTGTCACCATTAATCTGGTGTTTTTTTGTATACACAGAGTGTATATAAAATGAAATTTCATTTTATACAGCTTTCAAGACATTTCCTTTGAGTGATGAGAGTGATTCAGCATTACCTTAGTGTTTCTGATTACCTGACCTGTTTGTTTACCCACCTATCATGGCCTGTTCTGCCTCTCAACCACTGAGCCTATCTGTTCCCCTCTGATCTGTTTCCCTGACCTGTTTTGGACTGCTGCTGGATTCTGCCTGTTTAATGAACTTTGAGCTGTTTCATGTCACAGACCTGGATTTCCCTTTGAAACCTCTTCTGAATTTTGATCCTGTTGGAAGCTGGAGAAGTACCACCTTTCTCCAGCAGAGTCCGCCGTGGATCCTCCTGAGCTGAGCCTCCTGCACAGCTGCAGCTCATTACATCATCAGAGGATCCACTACTTAAGCTGTCTTCAGAACTTGCCTCAACGCCGCAGTGTTGATCCAGTTGGTTAGCACTAAGCCTAGAACCTTCTGAGAACTTTTGTTGACTTTTGAATCCAAAATGGATTCTAACCTCTGTCTCTGTTTTCCAGGAAACCAGTCTTTCTCCTGTGAAGCTCTGGAAGAGCTTAACCTGCCAAGCCTGCCCTCTGAGCCAAACCTGAAGCCTGCCTTTGAACTTCCATGCAGCCTTAAATCAAGAGCTGGAAACCCTGAGCTTAGCTCTGTTCAAATCCTAAGAAGTAAGACGCTGAAGCAGCTGTCGGACTCTGCGAACCAAACTCTCTCCAGTTCCAACAACCTTCCTCTCAAAGCCTTAATCAAGGACCCTCAAGGTACAAGCCTGAAACTATATAAAGACAAATCCCTAAGTGCCTCGCTAACTGAACTGTCTTCCCACGCAGACCCCGGTGAACACATGTCCCTGGACCAGAACCAGAACCAGTATTCATTGTGCTTTGTAACAATAAACTCTGTTAAACTTTTACACCTGTTTACGTCTAGTGGTGTTCTGCATATTTGGGTCGCTTTAGAGAACCCATCATGACAGATCCTCACGGTTCTGAATCCTGAGCAGGCTGCCAGGATCTGCTTTCCTGCTTGTTCTCCCTCCTCCGGGGCTGCAGTGTCTGGGACACTCTGGGCGGCACCCGCCGCATATTGTTGGGCTTGATCTTACCTCGTTCTCTGGGTTTGAACTAGTAAACCGGATTAGTGACTCACACTCATAATTCTCCTCTGCCAGAGTTATGTGGTCACTAACCTGTGTTTTCTTTCCTGCAGAGATTCCTGTGATAGACGCCCTAGCCGTTGTTACTCCCAAAACAAAGTTTTGCTTTTGAATTATCTGTCTCTCTGCCTTGAATACTGGGTCCTCCGTACTGAGCCTTAACAGATATCTTGAGTATACCTATTCTGCTCTGTGATATTCAGGGTTTTTTCTGTTTCTAAACAGGTTGTATGGATTATGTAACTAAAGTCAAGGCACCCTTCTGTTAAGTGTGAGAACGTGAAATTAATATAACACAATCCACAATGATTGCAATGTCTGTTTCGAGACACATGCCTTTCAGTCAAAGAGTAAAATATGAGAGTAAAAGAAAAAACAATTTGTGTTGAGTGGTATTATGCAATAGTGTTTAGTGTACTAGTGTGTGGTAACATCACATATTACCCCACACTATTATGCCAAACCATATCTAAGAAAAATCTGCTTACCTTCATGCAGATGTAACCATCATTTATATCAGAGGTGACACCTGATGCTGCCATGTAGGTGCTCCCAATTGTCTTGATTTTTGTGATGTAGCGAAATTTCGGCTCATCAAGCAGCTGGCATTAAAACAGAAAATAATATAGAGGAAATTACAGTCAAAATTACAATTCCAGATTTTTTAGTAAAAGAAAGCTATTGTTTTGCTGTTCTATAAAGAGATCAGAAGACATCCAGTGATGTTTACAAGAATGTTCAAGAACAATGATGACACATTTTTTGAACAAACATAGTTTATCAATGAAGATTACGTGCAGCCAGACTCAACTTACAAGTTTCTTCATGGGACCAAAAATCTCTTAGTGAGCACGGCTTAGAAAGATACTATCGATACCCCATTGCAATTACACTCCAATCTGCACAGGAAGTTGAATCTGCAGAGCAGCTCTTTCTGAACACATTTAAAGTTTAGAAATTCTTCCTCATATTCTCGTAAACAGGAAAAGGATAACACAATACCTGTGATTGCCTTGTATGCAATTGTACTTAACAACCAAACTAACTTTTTAGCTTCTTATGTTTTTTTTTTTAGCATATGGCATATATATCTATAGCATATATTATAGAAAAAAAACATAAAAAGCTAAAAAGAGGAGGAAACTTCATCAATGTAAGCTGTTCCTTAATTATTAAGGAGTGCATCATAAGATTGAGAATGCTTAACGATTCTCTTATTGAATCCCAGCACCAGAGACTAGCACTGGGCAGCACGACTTACGTCATGTTTTTTACGCAAGTTAAGCACACTGCATTCAGTAAGCAATTACGATGTGGCCAGGCGTAAGTCTAGAAAAGCAAAACAAAAGAAATGGCGCCCCATCGGGTAAAGCTATCAAAAGTTTGGCTTCATTTTAAGGAAGAGACAAGTGTGCGATCACTTACACCATAATGAACTTTTTGAAGAGTTTCAGTCTGGCTTTAGAGCTCATCATAGCACTGAAACAGCTCTGGTGAAGTTTGCTAATGATATTTTCATGCCCTCAGATAATGTACCTGTATCTGTGCTTGATCATATATTCTTTTAGAAAGACTTGAATATTTTGTGGAATTAAAGGAACTACTCTAGACTTGGTTCAGTTTATTCACGTTAATGACAAATCTTCCTCATGCTCAATGGTTACCTGTGGAGTACCACAGCGATCAGTGCTAGGACCAATTCTCTTTACTTTATATATGCCCCTAATCGGTAGAGTTAATTGACAGCATGGGATTAATTTTCACTGTAATGCTGATGATACCCAGCTATATCTGTCTATAAATCCAGATGAAGCTAACCCATTACATAGATTACAGGCATGCCTTGACGACATAAAAACCTGGATAACTCTTAACTTTCTCCTTCTGAATACAGACAAAACAGAAGTTATAGTCTTTGGACCAGAGTCTTTGAAAAAGAAGCTGATTAGTCAGTCACTTCATTTGGATGGGATTAAACTGATTTCAGATAATAAAGTAAAAAATCTTGGTGTTGTTTTTGATCAGGACCTGTCATTTAAATCTCATATCAAAGAGGTTTCTAGAATCTCCTTCTTTTATCTGTGGGAATATTGCAAAAATTAGAAATCTCCTTTCCAGGGGTGATGCTGAGAAATTAGTCCATGCATTTTTTACTTCAAGGCTGGACTATTGTAATTCTTTACAATCAGGAAGTCCACAAACTGTAGTTAAAAGCCTTCAGTTGATCTAAAATGCTGCAGCCAGAGTTCTGATGAAAATTAAAAAGAGAGATCATATCTCTCCTATCCTGGCTTCTCTTCATTGGCTTCCTGTTAAATCCAGAATAGAATTTAAAATCCTCCTTCTCACGTATAAAGCCTTAAATGGCCAAGCTCCATCTTATATCAGAGATCGGATTGTTCCTTATGTTCCTAACAGAGCACTTCGCTCTCAATCTGCAGGTTCACTAGTGGTTCCTAGAATTTCTAAAAATAGAATGGGAGGCAGATCTTTAGTTATCAGGCTCCTCTCGTGTGGAACCAAATACCAGTTTTAGTCACTGAGGCAGACACCCTGTCTACTTTTAAGGCTAGGCTTAAAACGTTCCTTTTTGATAAAGCTTATAGTTAGGGTGGCTCAGGTTATCCATAGCTATCTCTATAGCTATGCTGCTATAGACTTAAACTGCTGGAGGACATAGGGACCCTCATTTCATCATTCTGCTTCTGTTGGGATCTGGAGCTGTACCACCTTCCTCCAGCAGAGTGTGTCGTGGGTCTCCTAGAGCTGGAGTCTTCCAGCACACCTGTGACGCATCTACTCATCAAGAGACCTGCCCTTTATAACCAGCTGCCAGACCTTGCTTGGACGCCGTAGTGTTGACCTAGTTTGGTTAGCGACCTGAGCCTCAAACCTGAAGAATCTTTGCTATCTCTTGAGAGAGATCTGATTCTAATTCTCCCTTGTTTTTTGCCTCACAGGAAACCTGTCTCTAACCTGAAGCTCTGGATGAGCTTAACCTGCCGAGATTGCCCTCGTGAGCCAAACCTGAAGATTCCTATGTGGATTCCCCTGCTGCTCTTGGCTAAGAGCTGGAAACTCAGATCAAGGTCTGCCTTTAAAGTCAGAAGCAAGACGCTGCAGCTGCTCTTGGACTCTGCTGAACAAACAGTCTCTGGACCCAACGGTTCCCTCTCTGAAAGAGAGGCCCGGACTCTATCAAGGTACACTCCTAAATTATCAAAGACTCATAACTCATCAGCCTGCTTCCTAATCAAACTATCATCTCTGCAGACTTCAGTGAGCAGCCCGGACCAGTTCCTGATCAAGTTCATGATCTTGTGTTTTTGTGCAAATTCAATAAACTCTGTTAAACTTTTACCCAGCCTCCGTTGTGTTCTGCATGTGGGCTAAGAATCTAAGACCCATCATGACAGCTTCATTCTATCTCTATTCTCCCACTCTGCAGTATCTGTTAGTTCAATCTCTAACGTTATGCTCTCTGCTTTTTCTCATAGTAGCTTTACCTCATCTGTTCCTGTCTGGCTGTGACTTCTTACTGGAAAGAAATATCAGCTGTGCTGCTGCCATCAACACCTTTGTTTCTAGATGTTGGAGACCTGGATGTGCTCTCTTCATCCTCTGATATGGGAGCTGGCTCAGAGCTTGTCTGCCTTGCTGTGTGTTTCCTAGATTGGACCGCCTTTTACAGCTGCTTTTTGTATCTCTGCTTCTGTCTCCTTGAAGCCCAGTGGGCCTCAGCAGATGGCCGCTCACACTGAGCCTAGTTCTGCTGGAGGTTTCTTCCTGTTCAAAGGGAGTTTTTCCTCTCCACTGTCTCTACAAGCATGCTTAGTGTGAGGGATTGTATTTGAGTCAATGAGTCAATGCAATCAACTGGTTTACTTTAAATTGAAAACTTTGAATCAATTTGACTGTATGATCTGTTGAACTGTACAGTGCCTTGAGATGACGTGTTGTGAATTGGCGCTTTAAAAATAAACCCTAATGTCACCCTCAAAACCCTAAAGCTAAAGACTAAAGTCACTGAATTTGCTTAGAGAATAGGAAAAAAACTAAACAGGTTAGAGTTTTAATCTGTTAACCTTTAAGTAAACTATATGTCATCACTGACTTTACCCTTGTCATTTCCTTAAAAACAAATCATAGGTTACACATTTCGGTACATTGAATGAATCTTTCTTTTTTTGTCCTAAATGAATGCAACTTTAACATAAGTATGCTAAATAGGTCATATGTGTATAATTACATAAAACACAATACTTACACTATCAAAGTCTGAGATGATCTCATTGAGAAACCGAAGGCATTCAATGCCACCATTATTGATGCTCTCCTCTGTGTAAAAGTCAGAGAAGTTGGGAATTGAGGCAAACATGACACCAATCTCATCGTATGACTGGCTGTACAACTCCTGAAAAAAGCAGATAATAATTTTGAATACAAGATAAAGTATTTTATATATTCTTATTGTTTTGAGATGTAATTGTAGAATTCCAAACTGTTAATTTATAAACGGGTCTTATTTTGGTGTGTTGCAAAACACAGAAAAAAGTCAATTAACTTTCCAAGACCTTCTGTTATGGCAACGTTGTAATGTGAGGATGGGTGAGGGCTGTGTGGACCACGGATTATATAGATGAGGTTGTGGATCTGATCCTCCCGTAGTCATACTGATGAGGGTCCACAGTGACGTTGATAGAGTCCTTCATTCGTGTCATGAATATACTCTCAAAACACATGCAGTAACTACAGATGCTAAGGCCATTGATTGGTAGTCATTTAAGCCTGCTACTATAAAGCATTTAGGAAGGGAAAATAGTGGTGGACTTGAGCAGGTTGGCACAGATGCCAGTGAGAACAACAACTCGAGAAGCTGTTGTGTACAGTCCTTTAGCAGCCCTTTTGGGATGTTGTCAGGGCCTGCAGGCTTATGATGAGGTCTTCCACATCTCTGCTTTGGTCACAAAGAGGGGAGTGTCACCAGGAGGGGAAATTAATCTGGTTCTGTTAGGGTTGTTGGGATTCTCAAAGTGGGCATGAAACCTGATGAGTGTCTTTGGCAATGAGTCATCCCTTGGGAATTTTGTACCTCTGATATTGCAGCCCATTTAATGCCCTTCCACATGTGCTGCACTTCACCTGAATTTTCTGGGACTATGTGGCTTTGGCCCTTGAAATGCAGGCCGTCTGTCAGAGTGCCGATGCCTCCCCTGTCCTGAACACAGAGTAACGCCACAAATGTAATATTTCCCGCAAAGGGAATAATAACCAGAAACATACAAAAAACATGCAGCTTTTAATGCAATAATCCCACAAACATAAAATGATTTCCACAAATGTACATGCTGGCCTACAATACCACTTTGAGTCAGATTTAGTGGGTTTATGGTTTAGTATTTTTATTCCTTTTTCAAATAAAACAAACAAACAAAAAAAAAACAATTTAATTGAGAGAAATTACTTTAGGCCTACAAAAAAATGGAGAACACTTATTTTTTTTAAACTGCCATACTTAATTAAATATATAAAAATACTGCAGCGGTACAAACTCTTGATTTAATTGTTCTGGAAGTCTAGACTGATAAATAATTTATGTTCATGTTCTTCTTCTTGGATTATTTATTTTTGCATCTGTAGAAGAGAGGATATTTTCCAAACTCATGTTTTATTAAACAGGCTAATTCTCCAAATGCAACAATACATTTACAAATGTTCTAATTATAAAACCCACTTCATATTGATATCTTTAGCTGGGATTGAAGAGCAGCTAAAGATAACAGCTGATCTTGTTTATTATATAGCTAAATAGAGCCAACTTGCACATCCAGCATCCAGTAGGTTGAGATGCTAGAAGGGCACAAAACGAAGAGACAATAAAATCAATATATTCCCTGTTCATTGTTTCAAATGTATTTGAAACAATGAGTATGATAATAAAAATTAAAAAGGGACTTTTTATTTTTTGTAAGCCTATTACGTAATAAAATTCAAGGGGAAGACAGCTTTTATCTTATTTTAATTTTTGGTTTTAAATTTAATAAAAGAATAAAAGAATGACACACAGTTTATGTTAGATTTTATTCATGAGCTGCATTTACTTGTGTTCTGAGAATGGGGGTATCAAGCAACAAACACAAAAACATTTGTAAAAAAATATATATATATTACGTCTGTTGGAAAATGTAATACGTTTGCAGGATTAAAACATGAAAAGTTGCATATGTTTGTGGTTTATTATGTTTGCTGGAATTATAACATTTGTAGGTGGTACTCAGAGCACCCTTTCAGCATAACTCTCACCTCAGCACTCAGCCAGGGTTTTTGTCCTGGCAATGCTGATCATTAACACACTTAAAGAAAAAGCTGGAAAACAACAGGATTCCTAAAGGTGCACCTCTTCCTCATTTCCATTGTTCGCACATGTGCAGTGTGCGAAATCCAGGTATGTCGGCTGATAGACGCTCGGATCTCTGCTTCAACAGCAGGATTTGCCTACGCCGACTGAATTTCAAACATGTTTAATTTTCTCCTGACCTCATGATTCTTGATCGGGAGGTGAAGCTAAAACTCGGCGTGATCCAAAAAAATTCTCGCACGACTGGAGAATCGGCCCGAAATGGGAAAAAACTCATAGAGTGTACGGCCAGCTTTAGATAGGGTGGTTTACATGTCCTAGATATTGTGTACATAATCTTATTCTTGTACTTGCAATTTTTTGTTTTAGTACATGCAATATGCACTTACTATTTGGAATCTTAGAAGATCAGGAACTTAACATTGAACAAATAACTGGTAAAGTTAAGAGTAAATATATAGATTGTTACTGGACATAAGGTCTTTGTTTGAACTAAGAACATTTGCAGATGATAATCTCGAGTTATATTATCTCAGACATGTACTCTAAACAAAAGGAATGTACTCTAAACAGAAGGAAAGAAGGCAAACATAAGTTCTGCAAAACCTTTTAGAGTTAAAGCATGTCTTACCTCATCCCTTTTCTTTGAACCAAGGAAGTGTCGAGCCACATGTTCAGGTAACATATTTGTTACAAGTGCTTCATTCCAACGTCTCATTTCATATACTTTCTCCTTCTGCTCATGGACTTCTATCTTCCATAGGAAAAGTGTCCGAGCAAGCTTCTCCACCTACAGGAACAACATTTATTGATATTACAATTAGGCTTATACACTTATATCACATATTATTACATATCTTTACTTAATTTATATTACACTCGGTTTAGTAGTCCAGAGTAACGTGTTGGGTAGTTACTGGGTGGTGTATATTTTACAAGGAAAACTGTCATAATGGGCTTTAAAGATCTGACCCACATGCAGAGAACCACTCAGAGACCAATGGTAAAAGTTTAACAGGTTTATTGTAGGTTAGCAAACACTGATGGAGATTGAAACTCTGTGGGGAAACAATGCTGGAACTCAGCGGACTGGTGAACTGGAACCGGAAACTCTGAAGGGGAGATCACAGTGATCAGTTCAGGGACAGTGGAAAAATAGACTGAGGCTTGAATATTGCTGGAGAGGCACTCACTTGTGGGGGGCTCTTGGTTTATCCTTGAATCCAGTTTGTGGGGGGTTAATCCAGGAAAAGCGAACTATTCGGAGAGCGGACAGCCACACATACATTGGACCCAGAGGAGCGGATTGTCACTTGGTTTTCCAGGAGTGGACATGAACGGATCATGTGGAGGTTATCCCCTTGCTCAGTGAGACTCAGTAAATCCTTCCAGGGATAGAAGGTCCAGGCTTATCCAGTAACAAAGGAAGTCTTCTTGCCAAAGAACAAAGACAAAAAACAAGTTCAGACTCAGAGAAACAATGCTAAGATTAGACTCTGCTAATCTCAGTTCGGCTAGAGTACCCAATACTGGCAAACAGTCTGCAATCGAGGTGGTGACAGCCCGCTGCTCAAGTACTCCTCTGGTAATGACCCAATGAGCCACAAGTGTGCAGGGAGGCCCAATGAGGACAGAGCACCGCCTGGTGGTGGAGAGAGGAAACCACAAAAAACAACCCACATACACTGGAATCCTAAGAGTACCCCCCTCAACGACCTCCACGGTGGTCCAGCAGAGCCAGAGGGCTGGGACGAACAGAAATCTTTAATTAAAGAGGGGTCCGAAATAAAAGAACCAGAGACCCAAGAACGGTCCTCAGGACCATAACCCTCCTAATCGGCGGGGTATTGCCAGCCCCGCCCGTCCACAATCCTGCGCACAGTGTAGGCAGGGTGGCCGTCAACATCCAAGGGGGGAGGGGGCTCAGCGGGTTGGCAGAAGGAACTGGAATGGACAGGCTTGATCTGACAAACGTGAAAAGTAGGATGGATTCTGAGAGTGGTAGGGAGACGAAGGCGGACAGCAGATGGGGCAATGATCCTTTCCACCTCGTAAGGGCCAATGAAGCGGGAAGATAACTTCTTTGACATGGCTTTGAGGGGAATATCTCTTGTGCACAGCCAAACCTTTTGGCCAGGGGTGAATGTAGGAGCGACCCTCCTCCTGCGGTCAGCCTAACGACGGTTCTGTTTAGCTGTACGATTGAGAGCCACTGCAGTCCTATCCCAGACTGCCTTGCAGTGGTGAATATGAAGCTGTACAGATGAAACGGCAATGTTCCTCTCCAAAAACAGGAAACAGGGGAGGCTGATACCCCAATGAGACCATGGGACAGACCCATGGCTGAAGAGGTGTGGGAATTGTGGGAATACTCAACCCAGGGTCGATATTGGCTCCAATCAACGGGGTTTGTAGTTAGACTTTCAACTCCTGGTTTATGCGTTGGACCTGTCCGTTAGACTGTGGGTGATAGCCAGAGGTGAGTGAGACTTTGGCCCTGAGGGCTGAACAAAAACTTATCCAAACCTGGGAGATGATCTGAGGTCCATGGTCCGAGAGGATGTCTTGGGGAATCCCATGTAAACGGAACACATGTTTCACCAGGAGTTGGGCCGTCTGATAAGCTGTGAGTAGTTTTCTCAAAGAGACAAGGTGGCAGGCTTTAGAAAAACGGTTGATTGTTGTTAGGATGGTGGTCCTACCTTTGAAGGTGGGTAGGCCAGTGATTAAGTCAATAGCAATATGCGACCAGGGTCGTTCAGGAATGGGCAATCGCTTTAATAGCCCAGCTAGAGGCAGATGAGAGGACTTGTTCTGAGCACAGGTTGGGCAGGCTAAGACAAACTCTTTAACATCCTTCTGCACAAATGGCCACCAGATTGATCAGAGCCAGAGTCCTACTGACGCCTGGATGAGCTGAAAACTTAGAAGTATGAAACCAATTAAAAGTTTGGGCATGAATAGCAGAGGGTAAAGAAAATCCTGTTAGGAGGACCAGTTCCGGGATCAGGCCCAGATTGCTGAGCTTGTTTTACAAGGTCCTTGATTTCCCAAGTAACAGCAGCAACTGAGCAGCTAGGAGGGAGAATAGGAGCAGAAGTTTTCTCAGAGTCGTCAGGGGCGAACTGTCTTGAGAGGGCGTCAGGCCTGGACGGTAGGAAATGGAGAGGTTAAATCTGGAGATAAACAGCGACCATCGGGATTGAAGAGGGTTAAGCCTTTTAGCAGACTGAATGTAAGACAGATTTTGTGGTCGGTCCAAACCACTACCGGGTGAATCTTATGATCAGAATCAGAAATCTGAGAGAGCACTGCTCCAACTCCTGAATCTGAAGCGTCCACCTCTAGAGTGAACTGTTTGGTGAGGTCAGGTTGAATGAGTACTGGAGTATTGGCAAACAGGTCCTTTAACCGGTTGAAAGCTGCGCCAGCCTCAGGAGTCCAGATAAAGGGGGTCTTGATGAATGTTCGAGATGAAAGGGGTAGAAATGTTTGGCTGTAATTGCGGATGCAACGCCGAAAGAAATGAGCAAAACTCAAAAAATCTTTGTAATTGTTTCCTTGTCTCAGGAGTGGGCCATTCCAAAACTGCCTTAAGTTTTTCCTCTGTGGGTCTTACCTGTCCAACCTCTAAGATGAAGCTCAGGAAAGAGACAGATGGTTTGTGGAATTCACATTTCTCGGCCTTGACAAAAGGCTTGTTTTCCAGAAGGTGCTGAAGAACTTGACGAACGTGGATCCTGTGCTCTGACAGGTTCTTGGAAAAAATTAAAATGTCATCAATATAAACAAAAACAAAGATATTAAGGAAGTCTCTCAGGATGTCATTAACTGGAGTCTGAAAATAAGCAGGGGCATTAGTCAAACCAAAAGGTATCACCAGATATTCAAAGTGTCCGATAGGAGTCTTAGGCGGTCTTCTATTCATCCCCCTCCCTTATAAGGAGAAGATGATAGGCGTTTCTTAGATCCAGTTTGGTGAACACTGTAGCTCCTTGGACAGGTTCAAAAGCAAAGGACAAGAGTGGCAAAGGGTACCTTTTCTTTACTGTAATTTGGTTGAGGTCTCTGTATTAAATTCAGGGCCTAATGAGACCAACCTTCCTTCTTTCCCACAAAAAAGAAGCCTGCCCTTAGGGGTGAAGAAGAGGGTCGAATGATGCCAGCAGCCAGGGACTCTTGAATGTATTTCTCCATAGTTTCCCTCTCTGGCTTGGAGATATTAAACAGGCGACCGCTGGGTAAAGGTGCTCCGGGAACCAGATCTATGGCACAATCATAAGGTCTGTGGGGAGGCAGAGACAAGGCTTTAGACTTGCTACAGAGGAGACATCAGGAGGGTGTGCCTCACATCCTTCAGCCGGTTGAGCACCTGGCGGAACTGTCGAACGAGACAGCATAAGTGGCAGTTAACAGACCAAGAGTCTGTTGGCCCAATTTATTGTAGCCATTCAAAACCCAAAATTAAGGCAGAGTTAGCAGCTTAGAACACATAGAAGGAGATGCCTGCAGTGTGATTGCCGGAAACAGTTGAATAGGACAGGTCTGATGTGTTATTTGAGGCAGATTTCTGCCATCCATGACAAAAACTCGAAGGGGGGCTTGAAGGAGTATTGTCTCAATACCCCTCTGTTGCACAAAAGACGAATCCAGTAAGTTTTTCTCACGAGTCGAGACGATTTGATAGGGAGAGGGACTTATTATGTATTTGGAGTGATGCAGGCAAAATTAGACGAGGATAAGTAGAAGTAATCTTCTGGTCCGCCAGCAACCTTGCCTTTACTGGTGAACCCTGGCTTTTAACAGTATGGGATAGGCAGAAACAAAATGGCCAGCTTCTCCACAGTAGAGACACAACTTAGCCTGCTGCTCCTGCTCAGGACTCAGTCTCGTGCTACCTATCTGCATAGGTTCAGGGGGAGAAGGACTGGAAACAGCCTCAGCTGAGTGGTTAGTAACAGGAAGAGGTTTGGTAGGTTTTGAGCCCAAGCCTCTTTCCTTGGCTTGGGCTTGAATGCTGTGCAAACAGATTAAAAGCTCAAGGTGGTGACATCCCACTGCCCAAGTACTCTTCTGGTAATGACCCAACCTAGCTGCAAGTGGTACAGTGATCATGAAGCGGACAGAGAGAAGTATTCACACCTCCAAAAGCTGTAATAACCAACTGTTATTACAGCTGGTTATTACAGCTTTATCCCCAGTTCAAGGGGATAAAGTGATTCTATTTTTATAATATGCTAAGACAGTAAAAAAGTAGTCAAATTAAAATGACCCAGGCCACACCTTTAATATGGATGTAATAGTTGAGACTTTGAAGTCTTTGTATTTCTTCAGGTCTGTAACTAAAAGGATTATGTTACAAATTACTTGTAGCCAGCAATTAGGTAAGGTTGGAACTTTACAGATTGAGAAGGGAATGCAACACACCCAAATGTTTTCAGTCAATATAAACTGGCTTGTAACTACTTTTATAGCTCTTGGAGTTCATCACAGAAGACACATTAATATGAAGAGGACCAGTGGGCCAGGGACAGTGGCCGAAGGAAGACAAATAAACATTGTTTTTGTGACCAAACAAAGCTAGGCCAAATGGCCTTTGTTTCCGTCTCTATTTTTTGGGTCAACGTTTCACAAAGTCCACATCTGAAGTACTGTGTTCATTTTGGGCTTTTTTTGTTTGATTGTTGGTTTTTATCTACTAAATCTCTGAGCAGAAGTCAGATTTTTCTAGAGATGACACCTGCATCAACTTCCTGCCAAAGCTAATTCCACAAAAAAAAGCTTGCAGTT